GCCTGGTGCCCCCAGCCCCCTCCCAGCCTGGTGCCCCCAGCCCCTCCCAGCCTGGTGGCTTCAACCCCCTCCCAGCCTGGTGCCCCCAGCCCCCTCTGCCCATCCCTTTCTTTTCTCAGGCACCAAGGGTCAGGACACCCTGTGTCAGAACTGCCCCCCAGGGACCTTCTCTCCCAATGGGACCCTGGAGGGATGTCAGCACCGGACCAAGTAAGTGACCTCAGGGGAAACCCAGTGCTGTGCTCTGGGGTGGGGGCTCCACGTTGCTTCCCTGGGAGTTGACTGTCTTCTCCAGCGGAAAGGTCTGAAGGTCCTGCCCTGGGCAGCACCTGGTCACAGGCCTGTGTCCAGGAGAGCCGCAGAGCTGACGCCTGTGTGCCCCAGACAAAGCCTCATCAGATCCGGGCTTCCTGGAGACTCAGGATGGGCCTTCCCAGAAGCGGGCCAGAAGGAGGCTGCCTCCAGAGACCCTGTCCCCTGGGGTGGTGGGCGTCCCTGCATGTCAGGGCCATGGAGGGCTCCCTGGGCTTCAGGGGGCGGGAGAGGCTGTGAGTTCTCAAAGTGAGCTCCCTGCTCTTTGTCTACCTGTGGGGGGACACCTCAAATGCTGACCCTGGGCCCAGCTGACCTGAGACTTCAGAGCTTCTTGAGAAGAGTTAGGGTCCCCCAGTGGAGCTTGGGATGGGGCAGGGGTGGCTGCCCCAGGGAGGGGGTCGGAGGGGCCTTCCACCCTGCTCTGCCCTCCTCGTCCTCTGGCCCCAGCTCAGTCCTGTCTGTCTCTGGCTCTGGCTGCGAGTTTCCATCCTGACACCGGTTCTCCCTCCACCCTGTCCTTCTCCGCCACTGGCGCCCCGCTCTGCAGTCCCTGCATGCCGGCTGCCTCCTGCTTCTCTCCCCTGTCCCTCTGCCATCCTGTCCTCTTTGCCCAGACTCTCCTTGTTTCTCCCCTTTTCCTTTCTTCTCTCCACCTCCCCATAGCCGGGCTTGGAAAAGTCAGACAGACCTCTGAGGTCTCATCCCGGAGCTGCCGCCAGCCCAGCCTCCCTGAGCCCAGCCTCCCTGGGACCTGCCTTCACCGCCCAGAGCCCTGTGAGCCGGGACCTCCCCGGGGCTGAGTGAGCTTGGGCGCCGCACCTGCCACTCCCACGTCCTCGGCCCCACTCCCGCAGGTGCAGCAGCTGGCTGGAGACCGAGGCGGGACCTGGGACCAGCAGCTCCCCCGGGGCGTGGCTTGCCACTGTCATCCTCATCCTCATCGTCATCGTTGTCCTCACACCGGGCCTAATCATATGGAAGAAAAGAAGAAGGAAGCGAAGGGGTGAGCACACAGTGGCCACATCAGGGCTTGTGGCCCCAGCCGTCCCCTCTTGGAGCTCTGTCCCCCAAACCTGGGAGGTGGCCCCAGAGCTTTTCCAGGATCTGAGGCTCCTCCCAGGGCTGCTGCTATCGGCCGGGGCAGGTGGGCTTCCTGCTGTGCCCGGGGTCCGGGTGTCAGGTGGGCTT